AAATGGCAGAAAAAGATTACCTGTAAGTTTTTGCAGAAGAAGGATCAAGAAGTAAATTACTACTCAGACATAAGGAACATAACTATACGGAGCTCAATCTTAGGTATAATGGACATAAGGAACATAACTATACGAAGCTCAATCTGAGGTATAATGGACATAAGGAACATAACTATATGGAGCAATGGACATAATGAACATAACTATATGGAGCTTAATCTGAGGTATAATGGACATAAGGAACATAACTATACGGAGCTCACTCTGAGGTATAATGGACATAAGGAACATACCTATACGAAGCTCAATCTGAGGTATAATGGACATGAGGAACATAACTATATGGAGCTCAAACTGAGGTATAATGGACATAAGGAAAATAACTATAAGGAGCTCAATCTGAGGTATAGTGGACATAAGGAACATAAATATATGGAGCTCAATCTGAGGTATAGTGGACATAAGGAACATAAATATATGGAGCAATGGACATAATGAACATAACTATGTGGAGCTTAATCTGAGGTATAATGGCCATAATGAACATAACTAGACGGCGCTCAATCGGAGGTATAATGGACATAAGGAACATAACTATATGGAGCTCAATCTGAGGTATATAAAATGGACATAAGGAACATAACTATACGGAGCTCAATCTGAGGTATATATAACGGACATAAGGAACATAACTATACGTAGCTCAATCTGAGGTATAATGAACATAAGGAACATAACTATACGAAGCTCAATCTGAGGAATAATGGACATAAGGAACATAACTAGACGGAGCTCAATCTGAGGTATATAGAACGTACATAAGGAACATAACTATACTGAGCTCAATCTGAGGTATAATGGACATAAGGAACATAACTATACGGAGCTCAATCTGAGGTATAGTGGACATAAGGAACATAACTATATGGAGCTCATTCTGAGGTATAATGGACATAAGGAACATAACTATATGGAGCTCATTCTGAGGTACAATGTACAATGTTATTTAATAATGTTGGTATGTATCAAAATGCTTTCTGTTTAATCATAAAATACTCAACATTTTGTACATAATTAATCTCACCATGACAATTAATTCAGAAATATACTATCCAGATGAAAAGTCTGTTTGTATGTATACATGCAGTGTGTAGCTGAAGAAGGGAAAAACTGATATGTTGGATCTAGCGGTTCTGCTAATGAAACAATTTGTTATCTAAACATTCCAGTGCTACTGGCATCTGGCAAAACTGTGATGAAAAACAACATTTCAAAGATAATGATGACACAAGGATTCTTTTTCTTGACAAGTGTCCATGGTAAAATGTTATCCTCCCCCACATCCTGTGTGTATATCCATATCATATCTACACTCTGCCCGACAAACTGGCTAACTAGCCATAGATCAACAATTAGTCCACTGCTTACCATTCTGTACCGTACATGTCATTATTAACACCCCAGTTCTCCCTTCTCTTATGATCTTACATACTGTTATATTACTACACCTCTATTTAAAACTTAATAACCCTTCTTATTCATGCTGTGAAAATAACTTACTTAATCCTGCCTGCAGTATAACTCACTGAATATGAGTTTTTGAGATTATTATGTATGGAACCCTGGTGAGATTGGAGTAATTTGAATACAAAATTTGTTGGAAATCGACGACTTAAGACAATATTTGTTTTATGCTATAACAAGTTATGATCACAACTAATAAGTTAAGCATAGCATCAATATTGTGGGTGGCGGCGTCATAACGTTTCACTTTTATGGTGTCTTGTGGCGCTTAATTTATGGGCTGCACCTTTACTCATAAAAAATGCAATATGAAAATATATTATCCTAAAATATGTTAAATAAACTTTCGGCCACCCAAGAGCTCGAGATAACCCATGTTACGCCAATACCTTGTTGTGTCATTTTCTCTGAGTAAACAGAGCTTGCTTTTCTGTAAGGAGGTGTGAGGGTTTAATATCTTAAGAAGTGCAGTGTAAAAATATCATTATGTATATATTATACATCCTCCACTATAAACAGTACATTTATGTGATTCACTATAATCAGCTATCGTTATATTCCGTCTTTGCGTATTGCAGAGTTATCTTCTCTTGGGAGCAGGGTCATTGGTTTGTGGGAGAAAATTACGTCGTTTTCTCAAAAATTGATGACGTTACTCTCACAAACAGGTGACGTAACAAGCAATACCTGCTCCCAAGAGAAGATAACCCTGCAATACGCAAAGACGGAATTGTATGATGCACAGTGTGTATGCACTGTATCCGGGAAGTCTGCTGACTTAAAGAAAAAAAGTAACTGAACTTGAAGACAGTTTAACTCATTCACCCCTGAAAACACTTTTGAACTCTTCCAATTCAAAGGTTGGAATAGTTCATTATGAAATTCCAGGGGTGAATGGGTTAAAGATGACATTACAGATTTCTTTCTAAATGCAATGAAAATAACATATATTGGTCCATATTTTAACCCATTCAAGGTAATGTGATAAAAAGGATGTTGATGTTTATTTAATAGACATGTTTTATTCAAAAGAGTAACATGTCTTATAACCCATTCACCCCTAAAGTCTCGTTTGAACCTTACCAAATCATACACTGGGCACGTGCAGTTTAAATTTGTAAGGGTGAATGAGTTGATACATGTTTAAAATATAACCAGAATCTCCAGATTTTGTACCTATAACATCAAATATATACCTGTACTGTTTATAAATAGGTAATGCCTGGTTACAATTCGTGTAACAGTCTCTACGGAGCGTTATTTGATGTCCAGATGAGGGCGTTTATGTACTTAACAGATTACATACAATGGCTGTTTGATCATCTTTATGAGATTTAGTAGGAGTTAAGTAGGAATATCTACACATGTGTCTGCACAATATGAATTCTGCTTTACAGATTACAGTTGATACATTTAGGGTTGCAACAGAATTGTAAATAAAATTTATATATACTGCTAAGTTTTAAATCACTTTATAACTTAAATTAAAGGCATTTTACCTGCCAAACCCGGATATACTGAAAGAGGTCGATGACCCTCTTTTCAAAATAGTTAAAGCTCAACCAAACTATAAATCTGCCAGTATTAATTGTACTATATATTATCATTATAAGATGAAGTGATGTGAACAAAAAATGATATTTGTTCAGTTAAAATTGATTTGCTCTCTAATTAGTATTTAATTTACAAAAGAACCAACTTAATGTTAATGTAATGTATGAAATTTAAAATAGATTTGTGAAAAATAAAAAAATAAAAAAAAATGTTCATTTGTAACATATTTCCTAATTAAACATTTTTGAAGAATATATTAGATGTATAGCCATGTCGACTAGAGGCAGGTATATCTTTTATAGAGTGAAAATCACTATCATATCGGTGTCCACTACAACGAGTGTCTTCTTTATTGGCATATGTCCATTATGGGCAGGATTGTTTTACAGACAAAAATAGCTATCATAGGTGTCAACCTCTGAAACCTCCAATGAGGAAAATTCCCCTTATTCCACAATGAGGGAGAAAGTATATAAAAAGCAACTGAAACTGCTTTGCTCAATTTATCTTTCGTTCCCTTTTTTATGCATCAAATTAACTCCAAAAAAGCATTAATTTGATTCAGACACATCTGTTATTATCATTACTCACACCCTTCAGTAACTAGGCGATCATTTGACCACAGAATGTAGATTATGAATCTGTGTGAGATCGGACTTGAATGAGGGAGTTTCGAGGATGATTGGCATACATTTTGGTCAAAATGATGGAGTCTCCCGCCTAAAGAGGGAGGTTTGACAGCTTTGCGCTATAGAGAGGTGTTAACTATATATATACAGGTATCGTTATGAACGAAAGTCCCTAAATCCAGGTGTGCAGTGTAGGCAGTTAAGACAGAAACTCGTTATATTCAGGTGTCCGATATAAAGCTAATGTAAATAAAAGGCATATTTTTTTTGTCCACTGCATGGCCAGATGTCCTATTTAGAGGGGACCATCATAGATAGGTCACAATATCCTTTTGCAGAGACATGACCACTAAGGCAGGTACGTGTCTATTTATAGAGAAGGAACCATTATAGACAGGTGTCGATTTATAGAAAGTGATCAACACTATCGCAAAGTGTAATATCATACAGGTGACCTCTATAGCCAGGTGTCAACTACAGTCAGGTACCCACTATAACTAAAACAAAGTATGGGTCAGGTGGAGTAAAAATTAATCATAGAGAGTAATGCAACTTCTTAAATTCAACCTATCAAACCATTTTCTGATTCTTGTACAAAACATACAGAAATCATACAAAGATTTTCCAAAGGCTAACATATGCATGTTATGTAAAATTTCAGTATTCTATATAGAATTTTCCAACATATCAATAGGTATATATACAATGTACCTTTACTATAAATCAACATTACAGGCATTCTCTCAGGCAATAATCCATATAATTAGCAAAACCACATTATTTTCCCATATTAGTGGCTAATTTTGACACCTGTGGTCAGCTCTGCTATTTAATGAACATTGAATAAATATGTTCATTCAAAATAAATAATTAAATATCGAAAATATTATTTGTTTCATTAAATCATCTAGTATCTATAGATGCAACAATGGTTTTTTAATGAGTAAGTCATCTCAAAAAGTCTTTTTTCAGCCAGTCAGATCTCTGTGGCCAATCAGATCTCCATAAGTAATAAGTATACAATATGTGCACTGCATGTATTCTAAAACAGACAGAGTTATCCCCCTTCTAGTGTTACTATCTCTAAAAAATTGTGATTTGAATAGTTATGTCCAGCATCAAAAACTCTTAAAAATACCAATCAGGAATTCCTTCTAGTCCTCTTGAATCTGGGCTACCAATATGAATCAAGTTGATAATTACTAGAATCCTCTAAGGTACATTGTATGTGAAGCTGGCTGGACAATAACACAGGAACACAAACAGGTGGATGTGAATCTAATATCGCCTTACCTTTTTATACTGAGCGTTGACATTGTCTGGGTCGTCAGCATTCTGAGATCTTTGTTTCATCACATTTTTTTCCTAGAAAACAAAATTCAAAGATTTGAAACAAACACTAATGTATGTAAAGTATTTCCAGGTAATCCATATAGTCCACCACCATAAATAATAGGTGTAGATATCCTTTGGTAGAACATTTTTGACTTGGAATGAGAAAGGCATTGATCGTATTGATGATTTACTTTGTGAGGTCTGTGGGTGCTTGGTTGTGGTCCTTCTACTTCTAATTCTAAATGGTACTGACCAACTTCAACAATTTGAAGATAAAATGTCAGGAGAGGAGTGAAACATGAAAAGATATTGTTTTTAAAAGATACGAGATGGTCTAATTTGCGTTTGAAAAGTGACGGTAGAGGGCTGATTTGAATAATTCCGTTGTGGGGCCCAAAATAATGTCAGGTGGGAGTTTATTCCTGGTGACTCGGGTATAGTTCGAGGGAAGAATGATGCCTTTCTGGTCCAGGTTGTAAAGTGTGGTACGAAGAGGTTCTATATCATATATAATCTTGTCAATTTAGAACTACTAATATGAAGGCACCCTAATTATAACCCTATCACCTTATACATGTAGGCTGGTTTTATAATAATAGTGGGAATTTCTTGCTCAGATTAGATAGTGCTTTCCTTTGTGGGGTATTGTGACATTAAGGTTCCTGACAAGGGTCTGTTTCGATGAGGTAATCTCCGATGTTCAAAATCAAGTCTCAATCTTCATTAAACCCTTTGCAAGGAGTCCTCCTGGACGAGGGTCTGGAAGGGGCTGAGTTGACCAAGCATTAGACACAGACCTCACCAAATCATAACGTAATTGTATCAAAAATAGTGTATAGAAATTTCATCTATCAGAAATTGACTTCACTCCATAACAGTATAATTGTATTGAAATAGCTAGAAAAAAAAAAAAAAAAAAAAAAAAAAAAAAAAAAAAAAAAAAAAAAAAAAAAAAAAAAAAAAAAAAAAAAAAAAAAAAAAAAAAAAAAAAAAAAAAAAAAAAAAAAAAAAAAAAAAAAAAAAAAAAAAAAAAAAAAAAAAAAAAAAAAAAAAAAAAAAAAAAAAAAAAAAAAAAAAAAAAAAAAAAAAAAAAAAAAAAAAAAAAAAAAAAAAAAAAAAAAAAAAAAAAAAAAAAAAAAAAAAAAAAAAAAAAAAAAAAAAAAAAAAAAAAAAAAAAAATTTAAAAAAAGTTACATTTGTTTAAGGTCACTTATATGTTAACATGCACACATATTTAGACCTTGAAGCAAGCACAGTTCATTCACGGGGCAAACAAAATTTCCAAAAAATAAAAGAATAATTTCGTTATTGCAACATTATGCAATATTTGAAAGTTAATTGTTTATATGAGGAGCCAAAAAAGCAACGACGTGCCAAGGCAATTATTACCTCCTGTTGTGGACATTATATATGGTCTGATAGTGTTGTCTTGGGTTAATTAGCTAGCTTGATTGATGAAAAGAGTTAATTTATTTAACTCCTTTACCCAGAAGACAATTTGAACTCTTCAAATTCAAAGGTTGGAATAGTTCATTATGAAATCTCAGGGGTGAATGAGCTAAGTATATAAAGACATGCAAGTAATAAAATACACGTAAACTTGATTATTACAAACATCTGAAAGACAAAGATATCACAAGTGATATAATATCGACACTGTTTACAATACACTCACTTCTAGGTGGAGTAGTCCTCCAATCTTTTGGCACCAGGCTTTATACTCGTGTCCAAGAACGGACATTTTCCTGAGAAAGTCACGCATCTCATGAACAATGAGACTGCTGCAGTCAAGGTCATTGCTACATACACGTATCCAAGTCTCTATTACCCGTAATACCCCTCGGTGGTCCCCTGGAATTTCCGAATGTGAAACATTGGCTGTGATGGATGATTGTGACATACATGATGGTGACCATGGCGATGTTGTTGGACCTGTGGTTACTGTTGGTGACACAGCAGATGTTGGGGAAGGATTAAGAAAATTTGATGAGGATGTAGCAACCTGATTGGCTGATGACTTTTCATTTATCAAACAATGACTTGCAGCAAGTTTCAGCTGTTCAAATGGATACTGAAAATCAAACGCTTGTGGACTCTGACTTGAACTAGAAATGGGCGATGCAGGGGCCTCAAAGCGCACTGTGATATTGGCAATATTATCCTCAACGTCGTCAATTGACGACTGCGTCGGAAGTGTCAAGGTTAAAGGTCCTCCACCCTGATGTGCAGGCTGTGTAAAGTCTGTTGTTGTTATGGTAACCTTTGATGGCGATTTAGGCAAATCACATAAAGCTTGATCAGAACCAAATTCCTCGCCTTTTGCACGTCGTTGCACAATATGAAGATGGTCGGAGCCATACGTAGACATTTCTGGAGTTGTTGAATCATTATTACTCATGCGTGAGGCTAAATTCTCCGGAACAGAACTACATCGTGAGAACATTGGAGACACATCTGTAGCTGGGGTGTCCATTACAAATGTTGGAAGGTTGATAAGTTCTCTTTGAAAGGCAAGAATGTCAATATCATTTTCTGATGATGTTATTGATGATTTGGAATCGGCTCTGTCAATGCTTCCAGCGTTGATATCCTGGCTATCCTTTGAAGACACATTGCTTTGGGATTTTGACAATCGTTTTTTACTAGGCCAATGAAAAAGTCTTGATTTGGATGCTGATGACTTTACATCCCCGGAGGAGTCTGAACTGCTTACTGTAATTACCTGGTGACCGTCTGTTGTCTGCTGATTTTGTTGCTGCTGCTGTTGTTGTTGTTGTTGTTGCTGTTGTTGTTGTTGCTGTTGTTGGTGTTGTTGTTGTTGCTGTTGTTGTTGCTGCTGTTGTTGTTGCTTAGATGGACCTGTATCGAACGGATTAGCCAGACTTGTCCCAATGGCACGAAGTGCCCGCTGAGTGGTGCCGTTTTTTGATTGGATTCCGTTCTGTTTAACAAGTTCTCGCTCCACCGGACTGTTTAATGTTGCAGGAGAATCAAGTTCCTCGGATGAAGATTTGGTTATGATTGGATGATGAGATCGCCTTCTACGATTCACTTCACGTTTAATATCGTGAAACTTAGCCGCCTCTGAATTACACCTGGGTGGGCACATGTCAGCCTGTTCAAGATTTTCTGGCGGTGGTGGTTTTAGTTTTGTCTCTGCAAATAATGACTTTCTCCGGATCATGTTTCCAAACACCTTATGAGCAAGAAGACGTAAGATAATGACTGGATGTACAAGCATAGGAAGACCCATAAGAAGAAGTTCTCGGAACGGTTTGCTGTCTGTCTCGGCAAGGAACTGTAATGAACAGGCCGGTGATGTGAAGGGCGTTAACATTGTGCTGCAGTGATTATCCATCAGCCCACAAATACTCTGTATGGAGGAACTAAGTGTGAGATCGTACGTTTTGCCTGTGCCTTCATTTTCATCATTCATGGCTTCCTATAACGAACAATAACAAAATTAAAATGATCAAAAAGCGAGAGTACTAAAAACAAAACATATCACATACTGCACAACAATCCCAATGATGTCCATGGCCATGGGCCACTGTAGAATTATTTCATACTTAATGGCCAATCAACAAAGGATTTGTTCAGCGAATAAATAATGCGTTCCTGTCAATATTTGTTAAAAAAATAAGTCTAGCTTAAATATCAAGAGCCTTCCAAACAATTTCTCTCATATTGTCTTGAATGTGAATACTTACAAGAATGATAAGGGACATTACTAAAGCACAAGCTTGTAAACACAGTGTACAAGAGTTATCTTTCTTGGTCTATACTAAATGATAAATGTACATCAGTCACTTGAAGTGTTTGTTGAACTGCTTTTCAATAGAAGTATTTCTTATAAATCTCATGTAGTGATCATGTCAAAGTGCTGCAGAGATTTTGCTCCTGTAAGTTTGACCAATAAGGACCTGATAGATTTTAATTGAAAAGTTTGGCCTAAAATTGATAAATAATTAAGTTGCATTATTTGACTATAGTAACCCTCAGAGATATTTTTCCTGAACCATACAACCCCCTCCCCCTCCCAAACACCACAAAAACAGTTGTTTAAACAATTATCTCTCAAGCATTTTACCTGTGTAAGTATGTCATTAATAGTCCCCATGTGATTTAAATGTCTATACAAAATTACCAATAATTCCTCCAGGTGATTTACCACCAAACCCTCATATATATTACCTGTATAAATTTAGCCACTAAATCCTCACATATTTTTACCTGTATAAAGCTTATCCACCAAACCTTCACATATTTTTACCTGTACAAGTTTATAGCCACCAAACCCTTAGATTTGTATCTGTATAAGTTTAGCCGCCAAACCCTCACATATTTTTACCAATAGAAGTTTAGCCATCAAACTCTCACAGACTTTTTACCTGTATAAGTTTAGCCACCAAACCCTCACAGAATTTTACCTGTATAAGTTTAGCCACCAAACCCTCACAGAGTTACCTGTATAAGTTTAGCCACCAAGCCCTCACAGAGTTACCTGTATAAGTTTAGCCACCAAACCCTCACAGAATTTTACCTGTATAAGTTTAGCCACCAAGCCCTCTAGAGAAGCAGCCTGTAGATGTTGGTTATCGTTCCACATGACAACCTGGCCCATGGCCATCAGCTCTATAAAACTATCCTCGGGGGAGTGCACTTGTAGGTAGGCATTTGTTGACAGTTCTTTGAAAGCTGAAATACAGTGTAGAAAATAGCAGAATCTCTGCATATCTGATGAATATTACAAAAACATTAAATCGTTGACATAACTTGATTTCAGTGAGGCAACTTTTGATATCAGCATGTCTTTTACAATGACTACAACTTATTATACACATATAGTTCTATAACAAAAAATTGAAATCAAGATATGGTTCCTTTGTTAACAAATAAACATGTAAACCATTAAACGTATCATTATGGCACATTTTTGTATCACCATGGATGTTCAGAAATTTAAATCAAAGTTTAATGAAATTTGCACATATCTAATAATGAAGCAAGACGGATGGTTTTATTGACATCTGTAAATACTAATGGCAGGGAACCAGTTCTTTTGCAGATAGGTATTTCACCTAGGATTTCATTCAAAACTTGATGAAACAAATCATCATGAATAATTTGGCTTACGTCATAAACATGATGGTAAAACTTCAACTGTGTCAACATGGCATCCACCTTAACAGTCATATTATGATATCATCAAAAAGGAGGATTAAACGTATTTTGAAGGCAATAAAGTTTTCCAAATCATAACTTGATTGGGATGCAAGCTTGGGTTCAGACGAAAAAGTAAAACATCTAAAGAAACTAGAATTGGAGCTTCAGACAAAAGTGTGGGTTATGTTAAGGTTTAAGAATACAGAGAGACTTTGAGTGCTATACATATAGTAGTCTAGGATATACAATGGTATAAGTCTTAAACAACACCTTTGTTGAAACAGGTTAACAAGTATGGCCACAGAGAGTCAGAGGAAAGTACCTACGCTTTCTGTCAAACAAGTCGACACGACCACCGAGTTTGTGTAACAGTCCCATATACACAAGTATCCGAGCGGCATGGTACTTGACAAACTTTGCATACTTGGTACTGTGATTGGTATAATACCACTCGTCACTAGGCAACAGAAGCTGCATCAACATGTCCGCTATGTCGGCATCGTTGAGGACCTGATGGTGGCTAGGAGTTAGGGCGATGGAAGCTAGTGATTGTAGTAGTAGGCACAACAGATGCTAGAAAAAAAGTTATAAAATGTAGTGATGAAAACAACCCGAAAAAAGCGATTTTTATTACTGTTAAATACACTTTGTAAATGATCTCATAAGGGGAATACCTTCCTCCATACTCCAGGGGTTAATACGCTCACTTTTGCTCTCTGCACTCTTTAAATATAAAATGCTAAAATCGATCGTAGATAAGACAAGAAGACTAGTTTGATCCTTTGATGTGCATCAAAATAACCTCTTGGTTGCATAATGGTAGAATGGACAGACTTTGAAGTTGGGTGTCGCTCCTCTCTAATCTTCAAAGGACAGGTATGTCAGCCTGCTGCTTAATAAGCAATCGGTCAGGTATATTTTTTTACCGGAGACCAATCAAATAGCTAGCCTCATGCCTTCAATTTTGCTATGACATATTCCAGGGGTGCAGGCAGCAAAAGTGAGTGTAACCCCTGGAGTATTCAGGATGGGAGAACACCAGTTTGTGATCAGCTGCAAAGTTGTTAGATAGTCATATTATCATCAGACTTGTTTTTGAAAATGGGGAATTGCCTTTGACATGCTTCTACTTGCCAGTTAAATTTCTTAAGCTACTGAAAAAAGTAGGTGTAGGCTAAGCATTAAGCTAAGAGTGGAAATCATTATATCTTTGCACCACATTGATACATACTGGGTAATTCTTTCTTATGAATGAATTAAATGTTCTTGTTGTGAGATCATTGAAGAAAAACGTGGTGTGGCATATTTAGAGATTTCCTCATCATCTGTCTAAAAGATAATGCCACATGCATGCATTGTTCACATGAGAGAAATAAAGTCTCGCCCTTCAATATTCTTTCCTTTCTTTCAAAATGAATTTCCCTAATAAACAATTTCTTTGGGCGAGTTAAAGTTTGCCAGTTTATACTTACTGGATCATGATTTGGGTCTAAGGCCTCGACGAGAGTTTTGATATGTCCACCACCGACAATCCGATACTGAACCTGGAGTCCATGACACATCACAACAAGGATTCGGGCACTTAAAATTTGTAAACAATGATGGGTGCAGAAACGCGAACGAGTACTTGGCGTACATTTCTGCCGAGTTCCAATGATACGCTTATGCATGGTGATACTGTTATGAAGCACACTTAATATTTGACTAGGATCACAGGTTGTCAGGAATTCAAGCGGTGTTTTTAACACATTGGATCCACAAGAATTTGCATTCGCATTATCCGTATTTTCTGAATCATCAGTCTTTTCGGAATGACCACCCCCATCAGAATGTCCTCCGAAATTTTTTCTAAAATGAACAGAGGAAATCCTCTGAAACGTGTTAGAACTGTTGTTGGCACTTGTGGCGGAATCGTCATGGTGATTGTGAGCACACTGAGTGGACCCCCCACGTTGTTTGGGGCTGCTGTTAGAGGTCTTATGTTTCGGGCTTTTAAGTTGCGGACTGACACCCTCCTGACTAGCAGCACCACCTGGCTGTAAAGGAATGCAGTCTGTACTTTGTAGAAACTCTGTTGAGCTGACCTCATGATTCTTATGGACGATGCAAATGTCGATGATACGGTTGATGATACTGAGAGCGGTAAAGTGTAACGACTGACCGCCACGAAGAAGCTCCAGAGCTGTAGTCATTAGTTTTGTCAGCAGCAAAAATATCTTGAACTTTTCCTCAAAACAGTCAATTCTCTGTAACTCATCATAGCATGTCTGAAAGTTAAGAAATAACAATATTTTACCAATATCATCAGATGTATTGATAATGAAGCATGAATTAAGGATCCCTGTACAACCGAGAATTAAGGATTCCTGTACCACCGAAGGATTTTTAAAAAATCTGAACGTTTCATGACATCACATTGTCATGCCAACCAACTGAGCTATACCTTGTTGCACTAGTTACTTTACTATTGTACTTTAATTCCCTAGCTGAAGGCACACATACATGTCATATATCCTTCAAGACATTTAAAAAATCTTCAACTGTATAAGAATTGCTTTCCTTTGTCTATATTTAAAAAAAAAAAAAGTAATTTGTAAAGGCATTGCCTCCCTTTGCCTACATTCAATTCATCTTACACCATTAAAACGAAAGTTTCTAAGTGTGTCATAATAACATGCAGATGACTTTAAGTCAGAAACTTTTGACTTAATTTTTATCTTTGTTTTGACAAAGTTATATCAGAATTTGGTAATATTTGATGAAATTATTGTTTGGAAGCTGGAAAAATTAGTGTGCAATATATGCTACTTTAAACATTATGGGTCCTTTTTTCCTTAACTTTGAAATTATCCTCTGTCATTGTAGAGTATTTATAATGCCTATCACGTTTCATCAAAATCAAAAGATACTTCAGCAAACTATTAGGCAGAATCCAAAGAGTGAACGTTACCTATAACATAGTATTTTTTTATGTTCTGTCAAAAACAGTTAAACAAAATATTTGAGAAAAAAACGATCCCATGAAACTTTTTCTTTACCTCAAAATGTATATACAGCAGTCTGAAAAAGCTTCAGCAGACCTGAATGAAACCCCAGAGAACAAGTTCTTCTTCCATTCTCACTCATCTCTTTGGGTTTGGTTTGTTTGTGTTTTACGTCCTATTAACAGCTATGGTCATTTAAGGACGTGCCAGGTTTGGTTTGTTTGTGTTTTACGTCCTATTAACAGCTATGGTCATTTAAGGATGTGCCAGGTTTTGGTGGTGAAGGAAAGTCAGAGTTCCCAGTGAAAAACCACCGACCTACGGCCAGTACCTGGCGGCTGCCCCATATAGGCCTAGAACCAGCTGTGATCGACCCAGTGGTGGGGAGCTAGTGGTATCAGAATGTCAGACGCCTTAACCACTTAGCCACGGCGGCCCCCTTTGGGAATTTCAGGTGAGAGTGAAAAACAATTGAAATTTTGAAGGCGGTTATAAAGACAAATGTTCAATGTATATTTTATCGTCTTTTATGGTACCCATCTTACTCTGTAGTTATCTTTGAAAATAACAGTCTGGGAATTCAGGTCAAACAGAATGTTAAAGTAAATCTATATTAGGATAATGACCTTGACATTGATTTTGTAACTATGATTTTTTCATTTTGTTTTCTTCTGTTTAGCCTAAATTCCCAAACGGTTTCTTTCAACTGTTACTACCAATTGTAGTGTGATGATTTTGTTTTTCCTTCAGCCATGTGCAGGTATCGAATAGAGTTATATCTGTCAACTGTAACAGGAGGCCCATGGGCCTTAATCCATTGACACCTTATGATGCATATTAGACTGCTCCAAATCAAAGGATATCATAGTCCATTGTCAAAATACAGGGATGAAGGAGTTGAATCATTTGACTCATGATGCGAGATATATAGCTTCTGTTTTCATAAACAAAATTTTGTACAATACATATTCCCAGACTTTTGTGCCAATAAAAATGATAATTAAGCTCTATTATTTATGGCTTGTAGGTATTGAACTGGATAAACATGTGTACATTTACTGTGATGGACTGATTAAAGACCATTAAATCAATACTAGCTGGTTTAACTGTCTAATAGGACAATCTCATCTGAAATAACATTTACATACTGATGGGATGTTTTAGAAACAAGAGGCCCATGGGCCTTAACGGTCACCTGAGTCTACAGTATTTTGGTTTGTTTGTTGAAATATGTACCAATTTGAGTAAAAAAGAGTATAATGTTAACTTAACTTTGTCAGGACCATGAGCTGATCATTCCTACCAACTTTAAGTTCAATCGGTTCAGCAGAACTTGACTTTAAGTTTGAAATAGGTTTTCAAAATGGCGGCCGTGGCGGCCATATTGGATTTCTGATCGACCCAAAAAATAACAACACTTTGTCAGGACCATGAGGTGATCATTCCTACCAACTTTCAGTTCAATCGGCCCAGCAGAACTTGACTTTAAGTTTGAAGGAGGTTTTCAAAAGGGCGGCCGTGGCGGCCATATTGGCTTTCTGATCGACCCGAAAATAACAACACTTTGTCAGGACCATGAGGCGATCATTCCTACCAACTTTCAGTTCGATCAGTCCAGCAGAACTTGACTTTAAGTTTGAAGTAGGTTTTCAAAAGGGCGGCCGTGGCGGCCATATTGGATTTCTGATCGACCCAAAAAATAACAACACTTTGTCAGGACCATGAGGTGATCATTCCTACCAACTTTCAGTTCAATCGGCCCAGCAGAATTTGACTTTAAGTTTGAAATTTAAAATGTTAACGGACGACGGACGACGGACGACGACGGACGAAAACGGATAGCAATCTGTCACTTGAGCTAAAGCTCAGGTGACCTAAACAGCTAATGACCATGATCACTTTTATAAGTAATTAAAACAAAAGGCCCAATAGAGGTGTACAAGACATGCTCACCTGGTGTTTTTTTTCATCTGATTAGACAAGAGGTTGAAATGCTTTGGCTTAACCAGGAGACCACGGACGTCATGTCAAGGTATTGAAACCAGTAATTCAACTTACAACACTTGGTAGGGGCAATGACAAGAAAGTTTGTACCACAGATGGTTTCATCTGGTGGAACTGATAATTAGCCAAAAACGGAATAACAAATTTGAGAAGAAGTTGAAAATGTCTCGACCAACAATTAACAGTTGGTCATGCATTCTGGCAAATTTGATCCCTATGACATTGGGTGTGGGTAAAGGTCATTTCTGTTTACAAACTTTGTAGTACTCAGACTCTGTATGTCAGAGCTGAGAAGGCGCTGGCAAAACATTTTGACTTCAGGCCTTTTGGTTCTTCTGCAGAAGTTGTTTGAAGATTTGTAACATATATTTGACCCCTGTGACCTCAAGAGTAGGTCAATGTTAGTCTTTTTTAGCAACAAAATGCCAGACTTTATCCCAGGAAGCTACAAGCCAAATTTCATGACCCTTAGATTACCCAAATGATCTTCAGAAGTCTTTTAAAGAAAACGTTGACACTGATGAATTATCACGGACAGACGCAGATGGAAAGAAGGATAACAAGAAGTGTCTCACAACAGCGTAAGCTCAACTTGCTTTTGGGCCAGGTTAGCTAAAATCATTGTCATTTAGTAGAGAATACCCCTGAAAAAGTCACTGAATAAAGAAGTTATTTTCAACAACAAGCATTCCCCCCTGACATTTCTAAATATTAACATTCATCAACTTACAGACAATTTAAAACTCTCTTGACTCTTAATTTAGACAAGAAAAGTCTGATGACATGACACACACATAACATATATGTCAAATGTTTTAAATTGTTTGAAGCCAACAAGTGACAAGTTGATACCAAAAAAATATGGAAACTGAGTTAGTTAATCTAGCAGGGTAAATTACACAAAGTCATCAGCGTGAAATATTAAATTAGATGTGATAATTGAAAATAATGTTATTACAAACAAATGGATAGAATACAGATAGGAAATATTTGGCAAGAAAATCCATATATTTTCATATCATGTCTAAATTTCTTCAAATTTCATTAGGGTTGACTTTCTAGCATTTGAACATTAAATCTTAAACACAAAATTCTGCTATTTTAAGCAAGATTACAAATGAAGTTTTATCCTTTGAAATATTTTAAGACAGTCTTTACAACATAATCTTTGTTCAAAGAAAATAAGTCTAGAATGTCAATTGAAATACAAATTCAATATTTGCCATCAGAAATGCAGAAATCTATCGAAGTAATCTAAAGTTAACACCAATTAATCAGCTATTTAGAAGTTTGTCACTGGCATTTCCGGTTAGCCAGCTTGTTTCAAACATTTGAATTTCTTCATTCTACCAAAGAGATCAACTTTTCATGCATGATAAAGTTGTAGAGAGTTTACTAGACTAGCCCCCTTCTCTAGAATATTGAATCATTAAAAAAAAAAAAAAAAAAAACTCTCATAATTTTGATCACTTAGATGTCTGATTCTAGTTCAAAACTAGGGGGAGATAATTATATAAGCTAGTACATGTAGGAAATGCAGTTGAGAAATTCTTCATAAATACTTTGGGGCTGGTAGCCAGTCTAAGAGTTTAAAAACAAAGAATATTTTAGATTTGCACATGTGAAAATTAAGTTGTCTTAATTACTTGTTGCTTTAGCACAGTGTTGTATACTCAATATCAGGTATGTAGATAAGTGCCTTTCTAGATCATAGAATCAGTTTCTACCCAACAGTGTTTCTTACTGTATTGGACAAAATAAAGTGAATTAAACATTTGCATATCTTTAATTTATTTGATTTTACACTTCTAAAATCCTCACATTAAGAAGTTTAAAATTGCAAAAGACATAATTTAGACAATTATGGAATCTTTAACAAGTGAAACTTTGAGTGCAGAGCTCACAACGGAGTAGGGATCAGTATCATACCCCAATCAGAAATCCCTTCCTCCATGCACATTAACATAAGATGTTCTTTCCCTTTGCAAAGATAAAAGTAAGTTGAACAATGGGTTAAGGAGGAGATGAATGTGCTAAGAAAGTTTCTGGAGCAGAAATAAAAGATTGGCCATTACTATAGAAAAATACTCAAATACATATAGTGATCCTTCATTGTGAAAATCTATTAAACAGTTAAGGAGAAGATTCTTTTTATCAGAAATTGGAAGTTTCATGGGCAATAACTCTGGGAAAAAGGTTGAATTGCAAATCTTATTTTCATGCACATCTACATATGCCTAAATTTCACCAAAATCAGACGATATTTAAGCATTAATTATCCTAGATTGCGTAAACCAAAGTTGCGAGGGACAGACGCTTCTCTTACCCTGGCTGGACAGGTGTATTCGCACTTTTACCGGTGTGAGATTTTCTTATCTCACCCTAGGGTTGAGACGGGGGGATTCTCTTATTCATAACAATGGCATGACGTCACTTCAACAATACAATGACGTCACGTCAACAATCCATCAACGTCACGTCAACCCTGAATTTAGCATGTAACGTTATCATTACATTGTGTATATGATACACAATGGGAGAACAGGGTAAGAGAAAAAGAATCATTCACCCCCTTGTCGGTGAGATAGGGGAATCTCAACCCTCGGGGAAAGATTCTTAAGTTGCCAAACACTCGGCAAAGCCTCGTGTTTGGCAACTTAAGAATCCTCCCCCTCGGGTTGAGATTCTCCTATCTCATCCCCAAGGGGGTGAAAGATTGAAATGATATTTGATTATCAATATCAATTTTATATAAATCAGATTTAATTGATTTAGTTGGTAACAGGTGTAACTCAATCCCAGGATACCACACATCAGTATAACTACAATAGCCGTGGAGAGTTAACCATTCTAGTGCATTCACCTGTAGAATCTGATTTAGAAGTTCGCTGATGGCTTTCTCGATGGCTGGACATTCTGAGCTGTCCGTCACCGTGACGATAATCCGCATGTAATTGGCTAGTCCATCCACAAGGGAAGAAGTACATTCCGGATTCTGTGCTAACTTCTTTAAGGCATATAGTGTTCGCTCTGTCTCCTCGAGTGTGGCTTTCTCTGGAAAGACAGAAATGAAAAAAATAATTTGATTTTTTATAATGATTATTTTCTTACTATACATGAGGACCTACCCACTTTAAGCTTAACTTTATACTTTTGTGAAGACTCAAAACAACCAACTAACTCTCTTGCACCGGAAATGTCCGTTCAGTCCCTTTCAAGGACAAAGTCAAGCGTAAAAATATTTCATAGCACATTATGTACATTTTACTTTTTCCTATGCATGCTTAATTCATTCAACCCTGAAATTTCATAATGAACTATTCCAACCTTTGAATTGGAAGAGTTCAAATGTGTTTTCAGGGGTGAATGAGTTAACTCTGCTTTCTGGGGAAAACAGATAATTTAGAGTTGTACAATTATGAAATGTTTTATTTTTCTTGAAATTCCAATAGTTAAATGCATTTACAAGTTATCCATACACATCAATATAAGCCATTGCTTGTGGTGGGTCCCCACAACAGGAGTTACACATCAGTATAAAAATAGCTTCTTCAATTATTTATGCTGAATTTCCCCTAAAACCTTGAACATTATAAGTTGCAGCTTATTTTCGTTTTTAGTCAGGAATGCCAGGCTTATGTTCAAGGCCAGTCTAGTTTAAAAAGCCATTTAGACTATAAGGTGTGTTACAGCTAACGATCCAAGCTATAGTTGCATTATTGCTAAAACATCCAAAACCGTTTACCATAAATCCATTAATGTTCGTGTAAAAAATTGCTCAGCTTGTTTGGTGCTGAAATAAAGTTTGAAATCAAGGGTGCACAGATTACATAATTTTACAAATCTATCACTGGTTTGCAAGGTCCACCATTGATTGCAAATTGACTGCAAGAAATCCAAGGCATATTTTCATATTTTATTTACCTGTTTTTGAAACCAGCTTGTCTTACTTTCAAGATAAATTTGATAACAAAGAATCCCTGAATCATTTTTAAAGCTGTCTTATTTTCAAACAGGCTTAATAACAAGATTTTAGGTTATTAAATATATAGCAATTGTAATTTGAGGTTGCCTCCAGTGCACCCTCAAATCTGATGTCTAGTTCTTTTATCATGGTGCCTCAATGGTGTGGTGTCAAACTTCCACACTTAACATTTTGATTTTTTTCTTTACGACTTGTTAAGCTGAATATCTAGTTCCAGAATGTCAACAAATTCATAAAATATTTTGAATAAAGTTTGATATTGAGAGAAATAGGGAAAATAAACCAACTAATTTGGGCCAAATCACCATTCCTAAAAAAAACTTTTACAAGATTCTTATAGTTTGAAACTCTTTTATAAAGGAGATGTGTTATTGAAAAACTCTTTAGTAAAGGAGATACATGACAGAGAGAGGTAGCTAGTGTATCTTTAAGCCTCTAGCTACTACTGAACAGAGATAGCTCCACAGTCAAAAGATGCTAGATAGGCCAAGGATGTTCTGTCTCTATATTTGACTACAGCGGAAGATTGATGTGGTTTAAATTTGTCAGCTGAATACTTTACACTAAACCTGATCATGCCAGCTTATAATTGAAGAAGAAAAACATGCAAATCTTTCTTCTTGTACTGCGAGAAACATGCAATGTGGGAAACTATAACTTCGGGAGTTCTCATTACACACCGACCAAAATAGGTCCATATATGTCATGATTTTCCTTCCCGAAATTGACAAAACCATCCCCACCTTGGATAATAGCTTCCCTGCTGTATTCAATTTATTTTTCTGCTACAATGGAAAACAGAAGGTGTAAATAACATTATCTCATCAACTAAGCAAGCCGTGAACCTCCAGGAAGAAAACATTGCCTTAACAGGCAGTACACCAACGTCTAACTCAAACAAAAACATTGCAGAAGATTAAAATCAAAGAATTTTTCTGTTTGTTGTTACATATCTCATTAAAGAAGACTTAATTATTACATAAAATATATCTCAGTCCTTAAATGATTGAGGGTCACAAGAATATTACTGGTGTAGAATATTCGAAAAAAGTTTAATGTGGCATTGAAAATAAAAACTGAAGGTAATTAAAATAAACCAGGCACTTGTTTAGAAATTTTTTGAAAATTAAGGCACATTTTGAAAATAAACAGACATAAAATATTTTTGAAAATTTATTGCACTGAAAATAACATCAGTATAGAATATTTACCTAACGAAGCTTTTTGAGTGTTTATTGGTTTTATAGCTAGTATACAGTTTATGAATACAGAGGGGAAATTCAAATGATGTGCAGTATATGTGCATGAAGAATCATGACATTATCTGCATTTATATATAGCCAATCAAAAAATGATATTTTGGTTAACTGGATGTTTCCAGTTTGATCCTTTATTAGTGAAGACAAGACAAGAAAACAAATATTGCATGAGCACCAGATTTTTGCTATTCAAAACTACCCCCAAATCTTGGGTGTTCAAGGAGACTTCCAGGACGGACATGTATAGAACTATTCTGTATTACAAAGGCAAATTTCGTCTCGTTTTACAGATTAGTCTCATCATTAAAAGAGATGTGACGATATGGACAACTGAGAATCACGCGGCTTCTAATTGAATTAACTGATACCATTTGTCTGCGCAGAGATCTGCTGTGTGGTCAACAGAACTCCAATACATCAGGCAGAGCTCAAATTGTGTAGACAATTCTCCCAATATCAGTGAGAGCTATATACAGTACAGCCAGTGATAACCACATTCTATCAAAACTTAGAATCGTGCTAACAAACAAATATTAGACATTTTCCATGAGTGGTCTTTAGACGGAGAACAATTTTCAGTCTTATTGAATATTGCTTTAAGATAATGGAATTCAATTTTGAATGGTTGGAATTGTCTTTTTTATAGAGTCATTATTTTAAACTTTATCACAAATAAGATTATTTTGCCAATCTCAGAGACTCTTTCATTTGAATTGCTGAGGTTCATGTAACAAAACATTTAAAATAAAAGAAATATAAAAACCTGCACTTCTCCTTTCAGAAAACACAAAAAATTTCCAAGCAGCACAAACACACGGATCTTTTCAATTCTTCATTTAACACGCTTTTTATTTTTTTTAATTATGGCACATAACAGGCCTGACCTAAGAGGGCCAGGCCTCCTGTCATCCAACATGTTTATTGAAAATAAACATTGATAGGAAACAAAACCTTTGGGATTATAAGGTGGCCGAGACAAAGAAGTTTCATTCTAATATCCAGTCTGCGTGACATTATGTGACAGGACTGGACAAGAATGATGGGGAGATCGTTGATAAGACATCAGTGAGATACGATAAGACTTCAAGTGAGATACGGTTGGCACTATAGACATAGTCTCGCCAGTCAACAAAATTCTATCTCTAACACCAGCTCAACATCCGTTTGAAAGATGGCCAGCTAATAGTGTTAAGTGCTGCCAGTTTATGTCCGAACACGGAAATTTGGTGGTCCCTAAGCCACACGCTGTTGACATTAACGAAACTGAAGTGTTTTGAGCCCAGCTGCTTCAGTAAATAATTGCATTTCATATATTCCAACGTCCACTGCACTTCTGCAACTACTTCATTCTCATTCCTGAGGCAACAACTTCATTCTCAAGTTGTACTTCATTCTCAAGTTGTACTTCATTCTCAAGTTGTATGTAAATAAAATTCATTATTGATAAGAACAGGGGCCTATACAATTTTAAGAAATTCAAGTTGATGTTGGTTTAAGGAAACAGCTGTTTGCAATAAAAAAATAATATTTCCCATTTCCCAAGCAATTATCTCTATCTAATTTTTATTTTACTTTACCTTCAAAGGTTTGTCAAGTTATTCTACATGGAAATTCACAAATTACAAAACTGCTTGTCTGTATGGGTACTACATAAGACAGATTTGTAAATTATCAAATATCAGGTCCTTGCAATTGTCTAGCAGTCTGAAAAAGTGCCAGAAATTGTACCTTTATGTACTATTGGCACTACACATACGAGTGCACCACGGTTCAATAGCAATGCTTCTGATAACCAGATTATACAGCATTATTAACGGTGCTTGTAATAGTAATGCACTTAGTTGGTTTGCTTGATATATTTAATTGATATATGATGTTGAATCTGTTGTGAACATAATTGTGACACTCGGCTTGTACAAACAATTAAGGCTGATAATGGATACTGAGTCATCAATTATATCCAGGAGTCCATAATGTGTTACAAACTGTGCTTTAGGATCCCCGTACAATAGGAACTGTTTTTTCAAGCATGACTATCACCTTGATTAAATCATTTCTAAAAAGAAAACCATACCTTGCGGTACATCTGTGAAAAATAATAAATATGAAATAAACAAAATATAACCGACAAGAATGTTCTGGGTGTAAAAGAAAAGAGATTTAAGACCAGGATTTGAACACTGGACTTCAGATTGTTATAATATCACTGTAAGCGATTGAGCGTAACCTTCTCAACTGAAGTGTATATGTACTAATTGTGCTACAGTTACATCCCAATGGAAGTTAAGGGGAGGTTACTGTGTATAAATGGCAACGAAGTATCCGTCCGGACAGGCCAGTATCCGTTTCTTTACAGAGAAAAAATAAAGCCAAGAAAATTAACCCATAGTCCATGCTACTTATAGAACATCAGGTAGAGATAGACTAAACTAGAACCATAAATCCTGTAGTCCATGCTACTGATAGAACACCAGGTACAGATAGACTAAACTAGAACCCTAAATCCTGTAGTCCATGTTACTTATAGAACATCAGGTACAGATAGACTAAACTAGAACCCTAAATCCTGTAGTCCATGCTACTGATAGAACACCAGGTACAGATAGACTAAACTAGAACCCTAAATCATGTAGTCCATGTTACTTATAGAACATCAGGTACAGATAGACTAAACTAGAACCCTAAATCCTGTAGTCCATGTTACTTATAGAACATCAGGTACAGATAGACTAAACTAGAACCCTAAATCCTGTAGTCCATGCTACTTATAGAACATCAGGTACAGATAGACTAAACTAGAACCCTAAATC